CAGGTGTTTATTTCGAGAAGATTCTCAAAGGTACCGCTCCATCTATTTGGATGCGTAATATTCAGCTCGGTGAGTTGCTCAGTTGTCATCTTTCTCATGCGATATCGATCAGAATGAATAAACGTATATTCGCTCGCAGCACCAATTATATTTAGAGAAGGAAGATCGAGTCCCCGTGTTTTATAGGACTAACCCTTGGAGATGGTGTACGAAAACAATTATGAAACAATCGAAAATTTTCCGGTCACTCTAGCTTCCACAATACTTAACTGGAAGCAAATCAGCATAGTAATGACGAAAACGGGAATAAAATAAAAATCACAAAAATGCAAGACTTCGTACAAGTGATTGTAGCGTTCAGTAACTGTAAGTTTATTCATCAGTTTATTTTGTCGAGGTTCTGTGTGTGTTCAGGGGGGGGGTGCAGGTGGGTGGATGGAAGGTGGTTCGAATCGAGTTTAATACTAAACGAACGCTTATTCGTTTTTGAGACTCCGAGGTTACCTGGAATAACCATGAGATTGGTATAAAATCTTTGAACCATGATACTCGGATTTCTACCGCACCTGCACATTGTCTGAATTCGCAGTTAACTCAGTTACTTATGCTAGTGGTGTGGGATAATTTACATTGATTTGAACTATCCTTCGGACCTCACCTTCACGCACAATCCTCAGTTCATCAAGTCAACCATACACTCGGAAGCACTAGACTCGGGTTTCGCTCTTATTGGAGCTCATCAGTGGTACATATCCGCCGTCCCGTCCGGGCTTTGACCTCCGGACCCATCGCATAGTAGGTGTGTTTTATCACTGCGCGAACCAGCTCATACCAGGGCTGAACCGAATCGTCAATTCATGGATACCCTCGGATTAAGCAGAGCTGAATGCTACCAGGCGCGTCCCCGGGTTGTGGATAAGGGGATACCTTCACAAAGGTTAGCTGTGAATAAGTTATGGCATACCGCAACAAATAAGCAGTCGCGAACAAACAGGGGCGGCACAACCTGGGTGTGATGAGTTTCAGGCTGGTCACCTGGCTCCTGTTTGAAAGCCACATAAGCCCAATAACGGTGCCATCATTGTACAGCTTAATACAGTGAAGCGAACTTCGCTGATCGCTGCCAAACTCATAATGCATACAAGATAAATGAGAATGTGTAAGGAGGACAGGGATTGGGCCTATTTTTAGGGACGGGAAAAGAAAGCGAACCTGCATGGTCAACATACAGATTACACAGCCCAACTATGCATACATACTAGTTGAAGCATTTTGGACTGATAAGAACTGACAGCATGGTCGCCATTGCTGTCGGTTCGCAGCCATGACCTTCAATGTCTCCAACCATGCGGTTTCGGAGTCTTTTGGACCCCAACCCGGAAGACGAGAGACACCTACATAACGGTGCCGTGACAAAGGTTGATGTGACTGGCCTTTTCAAACTAAAGTCATTGACCCCTCGCTTCCGAGGCAAGGGATTAACTCCTGCTGCCTTGCAGTTTTCACTTGGTTGTGCAAAGGCTGGAGGTGCGCACTCAAAATAAAAAGACGCCGAGTGACGCTGGGACGTCTCTCGTACCAAACTCCCAAGGAACTCCATGATTTTGATCATGATTATGTCTGGAGCCGGCTTATCCTTTCCAAGGAACCAGCTGCAGTAAAGTAAAAAAGTAAGTTTGTTCAGATGTCGTCTTCAATAATAGTCATTCAGTTTATTTAGGCCCGATAGCAACGAAGGGAACTCACTGGACTATCTGTTAACTCCAACCGAAGGCCCCCCACCAAGTCAGGACTTCCATGCTTATTACGGACTTACTTACCGCAAACCTACTAGGCTCGATTGACAAGTCGCATTTAACTCACGATGGATATACACTACTGATAAGCTCTAATAAGAGCGAAACCCGAGCCTAGTGCTTCCGAGTGTATGGTTGACTTGATGAACTGAAGATTGTGCGCGAAGGTGAATTCCGAAGTATTCTCACTTCAAATCAGTATTGTGTGAATTCTTTGCACTTCTCTTCAACTCGCGTTCACGTAAGTTCGCTCGGTTGACAAACATCTCCAAAATATTCTGTATGGTTAGAAGTGGGTGTCTTGGGTTGTAATTTGTCGCCACTACCTCGCATCTCGCGAAATGCTCCTATACAACCAGCGTTTCAGATAGCTCGTTGAGGAAGTTCTCACATGGAGTTGCTTCCCCCTCTCATTTGATAGAACGATGAACCGACATCCGGTTTTTGAATAGAGTCGGTTTACCACTGGCAGTTCTCCTATGGAAGTTAGTTATGGAGTGATCCCAAAATAGCCAAGAAAGGGCATACAAACCACATCTTCCCGGTTGTGGCAGTGGTTACTGACCCGAATGGGCGTTGAGGTGTATTGGACACCGACATTTGACCCTGTAAATAGAGCGTATGATCCGTTGAACCGAACACCGGTCACCAGTGGATTTCGGTTTTTAAACACCATCCCACTGTTATGCGAGCCAGGCTTTGACCAGTCAGAGTCTCCATTTGTGGATCCCCGAAGAACATTTCACCCGCTCTGATCTGGGCAGCTCAGCGGTGTCGCACCCATGAGCAAATCGTGGAATTTTCACTATGGTTTGTTTAACACGGTCTGAATTTAAACGCGTTTGGAATATAGTGCATACACCTATTTGTTCCTCATTTCGTTAAACCGCTAATCAACGCACCAGCGAACAACACAATTAATTGAAATTTAAAGGCCTTGCTTGACACGTCTCCAGAAGCTCCCACACGGGTGCTTCGTTCACGCTCCCGCATTGGATTTACACCCCACTGCTTTGTGGGTCAAGTTTTTGAGTCAAAGTCTCCGGTTAGGGTTCGCAAAGAAAAAACCCTTTATCGGTGTGGGTTACCGCAAAGTATAGCATGCCCTAAAGTCTTGGGTACCTAATAGAAAACCCTCCTTCCCATCTGTCTAATTCTTCCTCTCAATCCCGAATAATCCCAAATAGCTGCTGTTTACAAGACCTATCGGATGTCACTCAGCGTTTTACCAACAAGTCCAGACAATCAGAAGTTATAGAATTTTCAAAGCCGAAATTCCCTTCTCACTTATCCGCGTTCAATGTCCGCACACTCTATCAGATCGGTCAACAAGCTGCCTTAGCTAGAACCCTTGAAGCTTTCAATTTAGATGTATGTTGTGTCTCCGTAACACGCATACAAGACCCTACTTCCATTATCTCCCGGCGTTCTCCTGCTCTAACCTCACACTTCACCCTTCGTTTGTGAGGCAATTCGGTATCCGAAGATCGCGGTGTTGCTAGTGTCGGGATTGCGTCAATTGCCAAGGCTGAACGCTTGCTTCTGGACTGGATTCCAGTCAGTAGCCGACTGTGCACCGTACGTCTCAACGGCTCAGCACGGGTCAACATCTACAGAACGAAGCGTCGAAGTCTATTCGTCGTGTCGGTTTATGCACCGATCGATTTCAGTACATCTGAAATCAAGGATGAATTTTACAAGGAAATTCTTAAATACTCCAAAGCGTTCGATCCGGACATCGTGGTAATCGCCGGAGACTTCAATGCTTAAGTGGGATCGCTGGACGAATCAGAGAGGCTTCTTGGTGGACCACATGCAATCCCAGCCAACCGGACGGACAACGGCGATCGCCTACTTCAACTCTGTGCCGACCCTGGACTGTTCCTGTCAAGCACGAACTTCTCGCACAAGAAACGACACCGCCTTATATGGAAATCGCCAATTTCTTCACAGCGCTGGACCCAAATCGACCACATCGCTATCAGTTACCACTGGAAGGAATCAATTCAAGACTGCCGCTCTTACTGATTAACACCTGTGGACACGGACCACGCTTTGCCACGACCCGAATTCTCCTTACGCCTGGCAAACAACCATAAAAAAGCCACCCAAAACGAATACCTACGATACAACGTCAGTTGCAAATCGGCCTTTGAAGTGGAACTCTCCGAACACCTGTCAGTCCAACCACCAGTCGAAGGACTCAATGAATACTGGAAACAAATCAAGGAAGCTATGCAAATATCAATAAAAACAACGTCAGACCGTCACGCAGGCTCAAAACATAAACGATGGATCTCATCGACCTCGGCTGCCCTGCTGGACACCCGCAGAACCCTTCCTCCCAATGCCGCATATGACACAGCGCGCAAATCCCCCAAACGCCAGCTCATCAAGAGGCTGAGGAATGACCGCTGGAAGTGGTGCATAGGAAAGTGTAAAAAGACGGAGAAGGCTGCGGCCATTGGCAATAGTCGCAATTTTTTCCGTCTAATTAGGAATACGGGTTCTAGGAAAATAAGCGTAAGTGAAGTAACTAAGGAATCCAATGGCAAGCTGATTCACGATCAGCAACGTCGTCTTCATCGATGGGCTGAACATTTCGAGGCTCAGTTCAACTGGCCCCCATCGACATCTGAACTGTCACTCTCCACTGTGACTGCGCAAATTCTGCCAGTCGATGCCAGTCCTCCATCTGAAATTGAGGTTTCCCGGGAAATAAGCTCTCTCAAAAGGCATAAGGCCTCAGACCCAGACGGGCTCTCTCCATCCGTTTTTAAGGATGGGGGCTTAACATTGGTTTCGGAGTTAACGAGCTCAGTGTAGGAGAGGGAACAGGTTCCAGCTGAATGGTGTGAATCGGTCATCATACTGACTTACAAGAAAGGTGACAGATCCTCCTGTGAAAACCACAGAGGAATTAGTTTAATCAACATTGCTTCTAAACTTCTCGCTGGTATCATGTTCCGTCGATTGTCTGCCGCACGTGAAGAGTGCACGCGTGAGAACCAGGCTGGTTTTGCACCCGGTCAAGGTTGTANCACTATCTCTATCCTCCTGGATCTTAAAGCGGCTTTCGACTCAGTCGACCGCTCTAAACTCTGACCTTGCCTTTCTCTGAAAGGTGTGCTCGAAAAGTTTATTTCAATATTACGCTCCCTCTATACTCATGGCCGAAGCCGAGCCCGAGCTTACGGCACCTTTTCACCCGAATTCACCACAGAAAGTGGTGTTCGACAGGGTTACCCTCTCTCCTCTTTTCCATTTAACTTGGTTATAGATCTGATTATAGAAACAGCCCATACTTATGCAAGGATAGTGCCATCGATTTACTCACACGTGGCAGTTTATCTGATCTAGAGTATGCAGACGACATTGTGCTGCTAAGTGAAGATCCATGTAAGTTGCAAGCTTTTCTGGA